TTCCTCCTCCTCCTCTTCTTCTTCTTCCTCCTCCTCCTCCTCTTCTTCTTCCTCTTCCTCTTTTTCCTCCTCCTCCTCCTCTTCCTCCTCCTCCTCTTCTTCTTTTTCTTCCTCTTCCTCTTCTTCCTCCTCCTATTCTTCTTCCTCCTCCTCCTCCTCTCCTCCTTCTCCTATTATTGTTGTTGTTGTTGTTGTTGTTGTTGTTATTATTATTATTATTATTATTTCTTGCTTTTTCTTCAGGAGCCCTGAACAACTGACCTTGGGGTCTCTATTGTATCGCCACAGCCCTGTGAGGTAGGCAGGGCTTAGAGACCGTGACTAATCCAAGGTCACCCAGTGAATTTCCATGGTTGAGGGTGGGGGTGCATTTGAGCCTTGGTTCCGGGGCTGAGCGGGAGGGACTGGCCCAGAATCAGCCCATGAGCTTCTGGGGCTGAAGATGGACTAGACTCCGGGTCTCCCCCCTCCTAGTCCAGCCCCTTCCCCACGGGAGACGCACTGTCTCTCCTGATCTAAGGAACTCCAAAACCTTTCCGTGTCTAGGTTCAAGGGGTGGCCCCATGTTCAACTTCCATAAGAATTTTATCCACCCTCCTTTTCACACCTGGCAAGTCTTTGTGGATTTCCGTCACATCCCCCTTAACGTACAATCCAATATGCATTTGTGAACAGCTGTTTCAAAGTACCATGGGAGTTTGTCCACCTTCTAGAACAGCTACGGACAACGTGGGACGCCAAGGCTGCGTCAGATCTCTGGAGCTCCTTTTTTGCTCAACACTGGTGGCATATTTTCACCCCATTTTCAGACCGGGAGCTCATGAAAACAGGGGTGCCTTAAGTAGCCTTGACAGAATTTTTTAAAATAAATTTTATTAATTTTGCAAAAGGTTAAAAATACAGAAAAATAATTTTAAAAGGGAGGAGAGAGAGAGAGAGAGAGAGAGAGAGAGAGAGAAGGCATAGGAAAAAAAAGAGTAGCTTCCAACCTTCCTCGGTACAGGTATAAATATAAAATATATTCACCTCTTACTCTAGTATCTAATCTTAACAGAATTTTTAAAGCTGAGATCTCTCTCCCAAACCAGGGAAAAATTACCTCCACCCACTCAGCCTCAATGCCTCAACAACCTGTAGCCTTTGGCCACCAAAAACCAGAGAACAGTTTTACTAAAGGATCACCCCCAAGATAACAGTTTTTATGGAATTAGGAAGAACAGCTTTAAATGGACTCTGCCTGGCATCTTTTCTAGCATTTCAAGCAGCGGAAAAAAACTTTCCTGTTCATTTTCTGCTTTTTGATTTCATTTTTTTTTAAAAAATG